GAGGGGGAGGGGGAGGAGGAGGAGGCGGAGGTGGGGGTGGAGATCCTCCTTCACACTTCACGTTTGCAGGCCAATCGCATAACCCCAAAGCTTCGTTGAACAGCAAGCCTTCTGGGCAATCCAGCTTATATTCACTCCCGCCCGCGCAGAAGCAGTACGATCTGCACAGGAACCAACGAAGTACATACACCACAAAAGGGAGGCACGCACGCGCACATGCAGAGAGGTGCACATGAACATACGCGCACATGCACACACATGCACATGCACGCACGTACACATGCACATACGCACGCATGCACATACGCACGCATGCACGTACGCACACATGCACATACGCACGCATGCACGTACGCATGCACATGCAAGCACGTCCGCATGCATTGCGTGCACGTACGCATGCACATGCAAGCACGTCCGCATGCATGCACACATGCGCACACACACACACGCACATGCACACACATGCACATGCACAGACATGCACGTGCACATGCACACACACACACACCGTGACAAACGCGCATGCAGACGCACCCAGACACACACGTGCACAAACAAAAACAGTTACGATCTATTCCAATCGAGCACTGAAAGAAAAAAAGAAGAGAAAAAATTAATAGCCCTATAGATGCACAGGACGATGCAGATGAAGAACACGGTAAGCGAACCGTGAGCAGTTTACTTTAAGCTGTAAAAAGCGAAAAAAAAGAAGAAAATGAATGATGCTCATGGAAAAAAAAAAGAACAACAGCGTGAACAACCCAGATGCGCTTCACCTTCCTTCCTCATGCATCTTGCGGTGGCATTGGGACCATGCGCAGCCGCTGATGCTCAAAAGCAAGCTTGGAACTATGGACTTTGCTGGACGAAATCTGACCGCAATAACGACCAGGTGCAGATGTTTGCTGGTCGAATCTGCCCTCAACTTTCGTATTGAAATCAGTTCGAGCGTTCTACCATCTTCATCCGAATAGAACGCCCGGTCATTATTCACGCATGTTGATTGAAACCTGGGCCAAATGCAGCTATAATGACCAGGACGTTTTATTCGGGCGAGGACTCACAGTCCCCTCAACAGCACATGCGCATGATACGCTCAAAATCGGGGGCAAAGAACAGAAACGCCTTCGTATCGAGAGACAGCACTCCCCTGATGGTAGGCTTTCTCCCAGGAACTCTAATTCTTTTTTTTTTTTTTTTTATGACCAAAAACCAAATCTCCATTTATTTCTTGAAAACAATTCGGGGCCGGGGATCCCCATAATTCGACCCACCCGGAGATGAAATCTTCTGACGGCATCAGTCAGCTTAGCTTATGCTTCAGATGGGGCCTCGCCACACAACTCTCGAATCTCGAAAATATTCGAGAACTGTCAGGATTTTTGGAGAGGCCGGTTTTCGAGAGAAAATGGCCCTTGGCCACATAGCACACTAGACCGGCCTCTCGAAATGGACGAACTCGAGCGCGGACGGGCTGCATCATGAAAAACGGCCTGACAACTCTCGAAATGGACGTCGAAGGGCCTCGCCACACCACTCTCGAAACGCGAAAATGTTTCGAGAGTGGTCAGACTTTTTCAAGAGTTGGGTTTTCGAGAGTTGAGGCCCCTTCGCCACACAGCACTCTCGAAAGGGCGATAGTGTTGGACAAAGGATGAAGCCACACAGCACTCTCGAAAGGGCGATAGTGTTGGACAAAGGATGAAAAACGACAGTCGTACAGCTTTGTCTTTTCCGAATGGAGTCAGGATAACGGCCTGACAGCTCTCGAAAATCGAAAGTCCGTCAAGGGTTCGGCTGAGGACGCTTGAAAATTCACGAATTGCAGGCTGGGCGTTTAGGAGTTCTGAGAGTAGACTCTCGAAACGAGGTTCTGACAACTCTCGAAAGAGTTTTCGGGCCACTACTCTCAAGTGGCTGTGTGGCGATGGCTCCAACTCTCGAAAACCCGGTTTCAAGAGTGGTGTGGCGAGGCCCGAACTCGAGCGCGGAGGGGCGGTATCACGAAAACTCCAACGCTGCAGGCTGGGCGAAAACATTGTTTCGAGAGACCACTCGAAAACCCCTTCCTGACAGCTCTCGAACAGTTTCAAGTTTTGTTTTTGAGTGATGCTGTGTGGCGGTGCCCGACTCACGAATTTTCGAGATTCGAGAGTGGTGTGGCGAGGCCCTTAGCCAGAATTAACAAAATGTATCTACAAAGCCCGAAAATCCGCACAAACCAAGGAACTCTAATTCTGAATTCCCTGCCAAAAAAAAAAAAAAAAAAAACAATTCCCTGGCAGAGTAAAGACACAGACGGGCATCCATCTATAATATACGGACATTCAGTCAGACAGAAAAGACAAAAGCACTCAGACCATACTCAGGCTAGGATTCCTTTTTGGGAAATGGCTACGGCATTGCGACATCATCACCAGTGCACATCTTAGGAAATCTTCCTACCCTCTTTCCCCCGAACACAACGCACCCTCATTTTTCCACGGTATCGGGCTGCAAAGAAAACCTTGTATACGTTCATTTTCAGGGTGCGTTATGTTCGGGGGAAGACGGTGGCGTGAGTACACCCTTAGAAAGTTCGCCAAAAACGGAAAAGAACAATCTGATAAGGTTTTTTTTTTTCGTTTCTCTTTTTTTTTTTTTTTTTTTTTCACGATAATTTGCGAAATGCCTCTATAAGTTGAGATATATGCCAAAATGCCCCTAAAAGATGTGGGTAGAGCCGAATACCCTTTTGGGCCTAATTCTTTGCGTTTTGCCCCTGTCATGCCCATGTGTAAATTTGCAATCTGGACCACGTCGTGAGGGCCAGGGCCTTCACCATGTTTTACCCCGTTTGCCCTCCATACCAGGTCCGCAACTTTGGGCAATACCCTCATAGGCAGGGCAGTTTGCCTCCATGATTTGAAAATTTTAAAATCGTTCCAAGTCTCTGCTGCTGTCTCACGCTGTTTTCGGCAGCTTCATTCATTGTCCTCCCTGGTATAGTTCCCACCCCATCTCCAGCTCCTCCTATGCCGCATAACCATCTCTGAAATTTTCCTGCAGACTCTCTCTCTGTGTGTGTGTGTGTGTGTGTGTGTGTGTGTGTGTGTGTGTGTGTCTCGGCGAGAAAGCAAAAGGCAAAGATGACCTCGGCCACTAGGGGTAAAACGAAAATACATAGGGCCTGGGAAAAGTTGGCAAGTACTGGGACATTTTGCAAAGATGGACAGTCCCCGGTAGGGTTATTTTGCAAAGATGGAAGGTCCAAAGGACGCCACGGGCATTTCGCAAAACATTTATCGTGCCAGAGGGGTGTTCTGCTTGCCCACATCTTTTAGGGGCATTGTGGCATATATCCCAATTTATAGGGGTATCTCAAAAATTATCTCTTCTTTTTTTCATAGCGAGGGCGGCGTACATAGGTGCTTTATGAACGGGATGCAGCTCTGTCTCCGGTGACGGCGCATCACTCTGTTCATCTATCACCTACAGGACATATATACATATATACATATACACATATATACTTATATACATACCTATATACATACATACATACATACATACCTATATACATACAACATATGTACATACATATATGTCATATATACATACATATATACAAAGACGCTTTGACTCATTGGATATGGATTAGAAATTAGAATCAATCAAGCTCCATCTGATTCAGCGCAGTTCAGGCATCGAGAAGCGGCGGAGCAGAGGGCCCTTGCCTCCACTTTGGCCAAGAAGAGAGCGCTACCAAGAAGAGCCACATTCACGCTGGAACTCTGACAACAGCATAGTTATGCCTCAGTTTTTTCAATTACGGGCCCCCTTTTTTTTGTTTTTTCCCTTTTTCCTGTAAGGGCTCTCGCGCAGCACCCTTGCTATCGCTCAATTGGATGGATGTCCACATCTTCACAAAAACTCTTTTATGTTTCCACTTTCGAACTTCGTGTTATGTTTCCACTTTCAAACTCAAACAAAACAAAACAAGAAAAGAAAAAAAAAAAGGGTGTATTATGCGCACTGGCAGTGAGTTCAGCAACGGAAGGCGATCAATGCACAACCCGCTCACCCCAGCCATGGACTTAGAGACAGGTACAAATACTGAGGAAAAAAAACACGCACACACAAACGACTAAAAGACAGGTACAAATACTGAGGAAAAAAAAACACGCACACACAAACAGGACACGTGCAAGTCGGTCCAACTAGAATCAGAGGCAGGTACGAAAAAACAAACAAAAGAAAAGACACATAAATCCTTTTTTTTTTTTTAGCTTCAAAAAAAGAAAAAAGAAAAAAAACTATTTTTCTGTTAGCCAGTAACGATGCCACGCGATCGACTTCTTTTTACTTCCCCTCCCCCCCCCCCCCCTCTCTCCCCCCATCCCCCTTCCCTTTCTTGAATCTCTCTTCTTATTTCTTTTTTTATCCAGGTAATGCAGTTTCTTTCCACTTGGTTGTCTGCATTTGGAATAAATGTGGTTCACATACATGGACCCCTTTTACACTTTTCGTGAATCTTTATTCTTTATTTTTACCCCTTTATTCTTTATTTTTACCCCTCCACGTAAAATGCAGTTGCTTTTTTTAACCTCCATTGTGCGCAGTTGGAATGAATGTGGCCCACACATGAGCAGAGTTGTTTCTCCGTCTTTTTTTTTTTTTTGTCGCACTTTGAAGTTCAACTCGGTCACTGGCCCACTGCCGAAAGCAGTACAAAACGCCGTGCAAGGCCTCAATTCTTCAATCTCAGGATGAGCCATAGTACTTAAACACTTATCAAAAACACTCAAGGCATAGTACTTAAACAAAAACACTCGTCCAAAAAAAAAAAAAAAAAAAAAAAAAAAAACACTTCATACGGCTTTTCAGAATGAGATTTGGACGCGATTCAAATCAGATCCATCCAGGTCAGGCGGCAATTGCTGTCAGATACATCAAATTTTTTACAGGAAAAAAACTGCTACCGTCATTAATTTTTTACAGAAAAAACTGCTACCGTCATTAATTTTTTACAGAAAAAACTGCTACCGCCGTCACCCGAATAGAACGCCTGGTCACCCTGGATGTATCTGGACTAAAAGCTGCCCCGAATACAGCTACTATGATGGCCCCGCGTTAGATTCCGGTGAAGACCGTACCGCCTGCGCGTAATATACCGTCATTTGGCCCCTGGTAACGATAACGTACACCCTCTGTTCCCGCGGTGCCACTACGCCAAGTACCGAAAAACAGCCCATCATACATTTTGCAAAGGAGCTTCCGGGAAAAAAAAAAAAAAAAAAAAAAAAAAAAAAAAAAAGAGCTTTTGCTGGAGTTTGAGACCCTCTGCTCGACTTCAGATACTCCAGTAGTGCGGCATACATATCAGAGGGCATCTATCAGTCGGCTTATATAGTTTGTCCTCCCCCCCCCCACCCCCACCCTCCTTTCAACCCCTTGGGTAAATTAACCCTTCCTTTTGAAAAGAAGCAGGCAACGTCATGTTCGTTGGGTTCACGTTAAGAGACACACTCGTGCAGCAGCCGGCCCTCGAGGGAATGAACTGTTTTCGGCATTCCAGCAAAAAAGACAAGAGCAAGTTGGGGTGGGGTGGGGCGGGGGGGGAAAGGGGGGGAGGGAGAGGGAGGAGGGGAAACAAAGGAATTAGTAGTAAACGCGAATATCAAGATTGATTGATTCAAATGCGTTAGTTGTAGTCGTTCATTCATTCACTTTGTATTCATTCATGCATTCAGTCAATATTCATTCAGACTCGTTAACCGTAGACCCTGGGCATTGGCTTGAGGAGGAAAAATGAAAAGGGGGGGGGGAGGGGGGAGGAGGATGGGCGGAGGGAGAGAAGGGGGGAGGTGCACCTGCAACCCGTCTCTTTGTCCGCAAAATACCCGTCACCGCGGCAGCACGCAGCCGAAGCCATCCCAGTGAGCTGGAAGAAGGCCATGGCGACCAGGCAGATTGGTGCCAACCTCTTCATCATGATAATGACCGCCATCGCCGGGAACTCCCGAGCAAGCTGACTTGAAAACCCAGTCGGTGCACTTCGTCTTGCTTGCTTGACACCACTCCCCACTTCTCCCCTCCCAACGCTCCCGTACGTCTCCTTCCTCGGTGTGTGCTTCAGAATACGTATGCCTCATCTGAGCTCCACGGCGGATGGTTCGTTTCGCTCCTCTTCGACTCTTGGCGACACCGCTATTTATGGGATATAATTGGTAGAACCAGCCCACGGCGAAAGCTAGTCGGTTTAGGGACCCCAGAAAAACCTGGGCCGGTACTACGCGCCCACCGAGAACTTGAAAAAAAAAAAATGAAAAAAAAAAGGGGGTATTCCCATTTCCCAGCCCGCCTTTCGCAGGGATCATGTCCCATATGCACCGTTTAGTTGAGGCAGCTCAACGGTGCGACAGCTGATCGGTGTCCCATATTCGAGAGAAAGGATTTATTTCTGTTTTTTGATGCAAGAAAAAGTGAAGATGGTCTTTATTGCCCTTTTTATTAGAAACTGACCGTTAGATGAATTGGACGACTAGCATCTCCCTTGTCGCGTACAGTCACACAGGCTCGAAAACCCCAGGTTGACCTAGCTCAACGGAGCTAGTGGGACACAGACTCCCATTTCTTGCCTTCGGCAAAAAAAAAAGAAAAAAAAAAAGAAGCCCGGGAGAGTAATTTGAGGGGATAGTAATTTGAAGAGCCGCCAGGGAGAGCCGGGTGCAATGAACGAAGAGGGGGAAAAGAAAGAGAGAAAGGGAGAGAGAGAGAGCGAGCGAGCGAGAGAGAGAGAGAGAGAGAGAGAGAGAGAGAGAGAGAGAGAGAGAGCACTACACAGTAGTCGTACAGTCTTCCCCTGAATACAAAGTACGGTCATTATAGCTGAATTGGGTCTATTTTTCTGTCTAAATTCAGCTATAATGACCGTAGGGAAGACTGTAGTCTACGTGTATGTGGACCGCATTACGTCCAGAGGGATTCAAATTGCTGGGCAGGAGGGTGGGAGGCAGAACGGTAATATCCAACAAGGTGGGGGGAAGGGGGGAGGCGGGCCGGAGCCTGGGAGGTGGGGGAGGGGAAGGGAGAGAGAGAGACAGACACAGAGGGAGAGAGACACAGAGAGAAAGAAGAGGGGGGGGGGCGACAGTCTTGGCAGGGGGATGACTTCTTGCAAGGAAAACACGAACATGGTCGTTCGGTCTGCCAGGTTCAAGGAGTCAGTGACCCTCGGAAAGCACATTTCGACTCAACGAGGATTTGCTCCAGTTTTTCTTTTCTTTTTTTTCTTTTTTTTTTTCTTTTCTTTTTTTTCTTTTTTTTAACTTTGCTTGGCCGGGGACCTCACAATTCAACCCGGATTGCTGAAAAACAGGTCCAGCATGCTATCTTGGGTATCAGACTGGAAAGCAGGTCTAGCGTCCTTTCCAAAAAAAAATTGTAGTAATTCTAGCATCTCTGCATATGACGGAATAAAATCAGGTCCGGCGTCCCTTATTAGATTCAATGACATAGCTTTCTGATAGCCTTCTGCGATCTGCTGCTCAGTGCCCTTACGAGCTCAGAAGGGACCTCAGACCTTCTCAGCCTGATGGGCTGCCTGCTGAATCCATAATACCTAGGTCTGTGAGTGGGTGGTCCCACAAGAGCTCCGAGTACCTGAGCTTGTCCCTGTCATCGAAGTTGGCCCAAGAGTGTAGAGAGGCCCACATGGATTGGAAGCGAATCTTGGGAGATTCTGTCGAGCCTGTTTGCTTCTTGATTTTGACCCACCCGGACATGATGTCTGGTCTGATAGCATGCTTGTATTCTGCGAAGATAGAGCCCAGGGTGGTGGCTTTCTGAGAAAAGATTCGGTCTCTCCTAGCTAGCCAAAGCACCCAAAAGGCTCTCACCTGAAATAACTGTGCTGTTTTGAGAGACTGTTTGTCACAAGCCTGTTCTGTTCTACCCGTGAAAACAAATTCCTTCTGCCATATTAGAGATCCTCCGTATGCTTGTGACCACATTTGTTGTAATCTGTCCCAAGAACCTCTCGCAATGACACATTCCCACCATAGATGCAACGAGTCTTCTTACGCAGCTTGTGGGCAGGATCTGCACAAAGTGTCAACTTCCATGCCCTTTTCTGAGCACCACATCGCTGTTGGGACGCAAGAGTGGAGGTGTAACCACTGTAACCCCCCTGTCTTGGTCTCCAATGCCCCTAGTAGCAGATGAATGAAGAAGGTAACACGTCTAGACTCAATAGTCTGTAACCCCAATGATTTACACCTGTTTACCCATCCAATCCTCAGGCTTGCTTGCAGCTCATGGCTCTTAGTCTGCAACTTGTACCCAATCTTGGACGAGTAGTATGTGAGTGGTACTGTCGAGGTTACCCCTGCTGTGCTATGTGAGTGGTACTGTCGAGGTAACCCCTGCTGTGCCGGTTATTTTCCAACCAGTTTTGTCCACATCCACTCTCCATTCACAGACTGGTTTGGATTCCAGTAATACCTGGAATTCATCATAATTCCCTCCCTGTCCTTTCTTCAGAGTTACGCCGATCCTTTCCCATTCCACTGGGGTCTAGCTGCATGTAGATGAAGTCCATGTGTATATATATATATATGCAATAACCTATGTCATATGTCTCGTGGAAAGAACTGAGGGCCAACTCGGCCGCCCTCAGCCCAGGCCCAAAAGGGGGCAAAAAGGACCCCACACGAGGACTCAGGGCCTGGACGTATGGCAGTTGACTTTGGTCAACAGTCGTTACCCCAACAGTCAAAGTCCAAAGGTACCCAACCCAAGCCGCTAGTCAAGCACACACACTTGTTTGTATGCAGATACCCAGACAACATCAGGTCCAAGGGAAAAGTCTGCAATTGTACAATCCGGACCCTCAGCTGTTAGTCGATCTGGACGACTGTGGGAAAAGCACTTGAGGCCAGACAGCCTCGACAACTGCTACTTAAGGCTGACCTTGAGTGAGTCGGGCATTCAGTCTTGCTATGCTGCTTGTACGCTGACTTGACTTTGACTGCGCTGGCGAAGTGCTGGCTCGATGCTGGCTGTACGCTAGCACTGTGGACAACGATAGGGACTGTGGCGGCATCCTGACACGTTCTGCATTGTGCGCTAGGCATGCTGATGTGGCGCTGCCTTTGGTCTATGTGGCGCTGCCTCTGGTCTATGCGGCGCTGCCTCTAGTCTACATTGCATGCTGATGTGGCGCTACTTCTAGTCTACATTGCATGCTGATGTGGCCCTGCCTATGGTCTACATTGCATGTTGATGTGGCGCTGCTCCTGGTCTACATTGCATATTGATTTGGCGCTGCTACTAGTCTACATTGTTGATGTGGCGCACGCCACTGGTCTCCATTGATGATGTGGCGTATGCCACTTGTCTCGACTGCTGACGTGGCATTGTCCACGCTGTCTACACGAGGTGACTGGTTGCGAAGAGGAGGAAAATCGGGATCTGTGGATGAAGGAGACCGGATACTCACCCGAGGTTGACATCGTCATTGGAATCCGCTGTGTCTTCATGGTCTTCACGAGATAAAGTGTCATGTGGCTCTATTGTGTGTGATCAGGATTACTATACTTGTTATCATCTATTGGTTGTTGACGGGGAAAGGGACGAAGCCCGGAGAAGGAGAGGAGTTTGAAGGGATTACTATTGTGTGATCTTTGCATTTCTTCCACCTCCTCTGTCTGTTTCCTCTCCACTCTCTTTGTCTAATGGCTATTTGTGATATCACTTCACAATTTGAAGACTTTGTTGCAGATATTGAGACTATTGATGTTTGACGACTACTGAGTATCTGCCAGACTGGGTTCATTACAATTTGGTATCGGAGCGAACTTCTTTCATCGCAATCTGCTGTCAGGTGCTGACGTGGCACCCAGGTGAGTGGGAAGTGCCGCATGTGCAACACGAAATGCGTTTATTAACGAGCGCGGTAAATACCGCAAGTCTAGACATTGTAAAATGGCACGTGCGAGCAGCTGTCCTTTGAGGACGATGACGAGGCTGCGCTGAAGATTTCAAGATGTCGGCAAGAGTTTCGTTGACAATGTGCTGACAGGGCGCTGGTGTAGAGAGAGATTGGTACTGTTGATGTAGCGCATTGCTTATATGGCATGTTGTGAATGCAGGGCATGGTCTGAGGTGGCACGTACTTGTGTCACTATTGCCTGCTATTGATGCGCTGACTTGGCATGCTGGTGTTGAATGTGTGGCAGGTCTGTACTGCTGACGTGGCATCCCTCCTTGTAGACTTTTCCTAACGATGACGTGGCAGAACTGCTGCATTGGCATGCCAGGGGTGACACGTGGCACGCAAAGACTATGCACTTGTTACTGATGGTTGCATTGCTTTTGCAGAAGATATAGAAGAGGCTAACCATTGATTGTGTGTGTTGGCTTTCTACTTACTTATTGTTGCTCTGTGGTTGTTGTGTGTACTCACAAGTGTGTTGTTGTCTTGATCACACTTACCGTGGCTGCGGTACCTATGCACTTGCTGTAGGATGTCATCACACATAGATCAGACAAGGGTCAGATTAGGAAAATTTCTCGGTCTTCTGAAATTGTTTATTATTTATTTTTCGCTATAGTAAATTTAAACAGATGTGATCGTGGAATTGATTTATTGTGCGGTAAACACATCTGAATATGTCTTACCTTTGGAACTCTCTACGTCTCTCCATTCTGACTCGCTTCATTCCTCATCTTTTCCTACCTGTCTCTGTCACCTTCTTTGCTGATGGGGAAGGTGAAATCCGAACACGTACGCAGATTGAAAACAAACGGCAGCAGATGTTGAGCCATCTTCAACAACTCCTAACTGAGCTGCACGACGCGGGACTCATAGCTGAAAAACTATGTGTCTGATTTTTGATTCAACGGGGGTTTCCCGTTGAAAGGTTCAACGGTCGTTAAACCCCCGTTACAACGTCGCGCTATACCACGTTAGAACGCGGTACAACGCGGCCCGCGATTTTTTTTTTCGCGGGCAAAAAAAAAAAAAAAAAAAAAAAA